GCTTGCAATATTTCAGTTGATTTGTAATGAATCCAGAATGTATGACATTTTTTTTCTTTTTTTTTTTTTTTTTAAATTGCATTACAGAAAATAAAGAACTTTATCACAATATTCTAATTTTCTGAGACAGTCCTGTACATTACTGACTCTCTAATAAACTACACACCCGCCAGAACACTGCGATCATCAGATGCAGGTCTATTAACTGATTTTATAGTATGTCTGCACTTTGTGCTCATATCATTCATGTCTTTTATATTCTACTAAAACTGAATCAATCCAAAAAGAAGGTGGCCTGTTGGGATTACTATATTTATATATATATAAATAAATAAATAAAACAAGCAGCAAGAGCAAAGCATAAAGTGGGATAAAATAATGCATATATATATTGTTTTACACTGATTCTATGTTTTATTTCTTACTGATGTAAAGCACTTTGAACCGCAATCCCCTGTATGAAAGGTGCTATACAAATAAAGTTATTATTATTCAGATGGATGTTTCTGCCCCTCTGTTCATTCTCCCATTATTCTCCTCAATCTGCCTAGAAGTATTTTAATGTTGTAGCTGTTACTATAACCAATACTAATGCTAGAGCTGCAACTGACAGTTATGTAGGCACATTTGTATTGTTTATCGCTGTGTGATTAAAAGAATAAACACAAATAGCAGGATAGGGAATTCAAAACTTTATTTCGTACCTTCATACACACATAACACAACATTAGAATGAGCTTTTATCAACTCTGACATGATGATAAATCCACATGACATTAATACAGAGCGGGCAGAACCCAAATCTGCATTTAAAGATTACACTTTACCAAAGCTTGAGGAAAATATCACAACACAACCCCTTTATGAGCCAAACCACCATGAGAGAAAAAGATGGTGCTACATCTTATCCCACTGAAAATGTACTGCACCGATACAGTTAAAATATTGGCATAGTTCATCCCTGTGATGCTTGGACAGACTAAATGCTTTGAATCTGCCGATATATGATATTCAACACAAAAGAGCAGAGCCAGGACCCTGTAGGTGAGCAGTCATGGTAGATCTTTTTCAATTCACTGTAACCTTTAAGGCCCAGATAAAAGTCTTCTTCCCTGATGTGAGCCGATTAAGGCAGTTAGGTTTTTAGAGCATCATTATTCATTTATTTTCACACCCTTGCTTATTCAGGGTCTCCAAATTAGTGATTGAATAAACAATGGTTTATTTTCTTAGATTATATTATGTATAAACAGTATACTCAGACAGGCATTACAATGCAGTGGAATAATAATAAATGCACCAGAAAACATGCCTGATAGAAGGTCTAGGGTTAAATAAGACCGGGAAATTAAAAGGTACAACTGAAACAAGGTTAAACAAAAAGGTTGTTGGTTAAATAAACAGGGGCAAAATGTAAAGCAAGACAGGAAGCTAAACAACTAAAAAGGAACATATTATAAGACATAAGAGCTAAAACTGTTATAAAGACAAATGCAAAACAAGCTCAACCAACCAAAAGTAAGTAAGCAAATCAATGGCATGAAGCAAAAACAAATGTAACATCATAAACAACACATAGTTAGCAAAACAAAACAAATCATAGCAAAACAAAACAGCTGCAGGTGAACTATGAAGGTTAAAAATGTTTCACCATTTGGAATACAAATATTTAAGGTTCTGCCCTATTGACCACAGGAAGAGGTTTTGGAACACTAATGAGCTTCAGGACAATCGTCTAGGAAGCAGTAAGTGATCATAAAATACTAGCAGAAATGAGACCAATGTATCCATATAATCGGTTATGAAGCCTACCTTTACCAGCGACCATGACAGTAGAGCCAAAGGTAAAAACCAAAGGCCACCAGATGCCTTTTATACTCTGCTCTAATGAGGATAGAGGTTTGGGAGGAGTCAGGCCTTGAGCTGCTTTCAGGAGCACTATTCGCTACATCATTATTTATTTTAAATTAACAACTGAAGATCAAACCAAAAAAGGTTTCCCAAAGAGATTAAATAAACCTAATTATCCATATATTTTGCTGATGGTAATCGATAAGAAGCATCTGCTTTCAGTATTAAGGAATAGTATCAACTCTTATAAAATGGAGATTCTTTAAAATTGTTTCCATTTCAGCAGATTGTAGCGTATTACTATCTATTATTCCAAATATAAATTGATAAGCCTCATGTATTATCCATCAGTGAGTAAATACCATAGGTAAATACATTTAGAACAGCGAGTGTGGAAGGGGGGTGGCCAACAACCAATCACAGAGCAGAACGACAATAGCAGGCAGCTGAATATTCTGACGCCGATTCTGTGCGACATGCCGGATAGAAACGAGAATGAAAAACATGCGAAGTGATGCTTGTTGACAGCATCATTTGAGTTTTTCTTTATTTACCTTCTACACGTACTGTAGCTATCCTGACATTAACTGTCAACAACAACACGTTAAGTGTTGCCTCGTATGTTTACCTTTAGTCTCTGGCCCATAAGTCCATCTATCTTAGCACCACTAGCATTAGCAGCTAACCCTACAAGACATAGTAACGTTACTTACACGACATTTTGACAGCGTTTTAGTATTTAAATCTACCACCGCTGGTTTCTGCAGTATGAGTCATGCATATGGTGGCGGGGGTGGGAGAAGAGGTGGAAGAGGAGGTCGAGGAGGAGGTCGTGGAGGAGGTCGAGGGTACAGAGATGGAAGCAGAGATGGAAGCAGAGAGAGATGGGACAGGGGAGGCGGACGGGGCTCAGGGGGACAAAGCTCGGACTTCGACCAGGACCCAGGAGGAGGGGGACAACGGGACCGGCCTCCCCCACACCTGAAGGGACGGGATATCGGTATGTGGTACGCAAGATACGGAGCCGTGAGGAGGAAGCAGGCTGACCGGAGATCGGTATGTGTTTGGATGACTGATCGTGCACATTGTGTTGTCAGTTTATTAGAAACAGAGGTCTGGGCAGTCCGCACATAAAGAGGTTGGAGGACAAACTTAAGTAAAAGTAGAAGTACCAGAGTGTAGGAATACCCTGTTACAAGTCCTGCATTCAAAGGGTTACTTAAGTAAAAGTACAAAAGTATTAGCTTCAGAGTAGACTTAGTAAAAGTCCTCATTATGCAAATTGGCCCATTTCAGAATAATATATATAATGTGTTTATCAAAGCTGGTAAGACTTTGTAGACTACAGGGTTGCTTGTGAAATGTCTCCAGCGTTCAATAAAGTCTAATTTTAGTGTTGATTATATTTCACATCATTAATCCAAATCTGCAAAGTAACTAAAGGTACAACATATTGTAGTGGAGTAAAAGTACATAACATAAGTAGCATAACATGGAAATACTCAAGTCAAAATTGTACTTAAGCATAGTACTTGAGTAAATGTAATTAGTTACTTACAGGACTACACATATATAATAAACACTAAAGTTACAAAGAGGTGACAGCTTATTTCTATCTCTGCTAGAAAAAAGCTCTGCCCTCGGAGCCCAGGTGTCAACTGCAAAGTGTGGGGCATACGCTGATTTAATGGAAAATGGTTCAGATCAGAAAGTCTATATCTATAGATATTGTGCAGAATAGCAACACTGATTGGTGACCATCCATATCCTTACACATATTGTATCTTGATTAATATTGTGATATACAATAGCCTGAACAAACTTTGCCTGAATGTTTCCAGCCTTCATTCATACAACTGTATTATTAGGATCTTAACAAAGCCAAAATTACCCATTGATCCAATACCGTATGAATACTGCTATTTGTAGATGTATTTGCAGGGTTTTGATTCACCATCCAAAGGGTTGAGGGTGAACCAATGTAGTAGGAGTAGTTAGTGCTAAAGTAGCAAATAATTCTTAAGCTGTCACTGAAATGCAAAAATAACCGCTTTTACATTGATTTCACATTTTCACAGGGATACTGTAAGATTGGTCAAGGTGATTAAATGAAAGGATACATTGACATTTTGAACCCTTATTATTGTTTCAAACAAAGACCCTGGTGTCACATTTGCTTAGGCCAATTACAAGATAACGACTCAAAATTCCCCTTTATGTCTGTGTGTAGCGGCCGGTGGTCCAGATGGATGCAGCCAGAGAGCAGCACATTACGAAGCTGCTTAACTCTGTCCAAAATGATCAGCCTGGTCCAGCGAGAGACTGCAGGGATGCAGGAGCCTCTACATCTGACAGCTGGCGGTCAGCTGCCAATAGTAGTGGTCATTGGTGAGAACAGCCTACAAAGCATTTCTTTTCAAACTTGCACATTATAATGTTGATTAGGGCTGCTCGATTATGGCAAAAATCATAATCTCGATTATTTGGGTCAATAATTGTAATTGCGATTATTAAATGCGATTATTCATTGACTTTGAAAACATCCATTTATTGGAGAATTTTTTTTGAACAGTATGTTTTTAACAGTTGATTACTCTGAACTCTAAGTATAATTCAACTGAAAACCCCCCAAAAAAATAAATAAAAGTAATAATAAAAAAATAATCGTTTTATTTCGATTACATTGTTTTCGTAATCGCGATTAAAATACAATTAATTGAGCAGCCCTAATGTTGAGCTTACCCTAAAGAAAATGGGAGTATTAGAAAATAACAAAGTTTCCTGACTTATTTGACTGCTGAAACAAGTTTTTCTCTAATTTGTACATGCAGTTACTTTGATGGTGAAGCGTCTGAAGAGGATAAAAAGAAGATTGAGTTCAAGTCTGAAGAGGAGGAGGAAGAAGTTACTCCTAAATCACAACGGTAACTTTTGAAAGCAAGATGCACTGTTCAAAAAATGTAGTTTCCTATTTGCTTATGCTTTCTTCAACAATCAGAGAGCAACCAATATAGTGTTGTGATCCACTATATTGTTGATATTTACACTTTGAATGTTTTTGTTTAGTTACTTCTCTCCAGCAGTTGTCAAAGATGAGGCTCCAGATGCGTGGGATAAAGACGACCAGCAGGAGAAAGAGGAGAAAGAAAGTCTGAAAAAGAAAGACAAGGAACTGGAGTTCTTGTGTCACGAAGTAGTGAGGGACAGTTCACTGGATGAACGCTTACAGAGAGATCTGCAGAGCAAGAAATCTGATCCAAAGTACAAAGAAATGCTGGTAAGCATTAGGATTACTTTCAAGTTTTAAATATACAACTGTAAAAGGCAAGGCTTTTAATCTACTAAAATAGGCAGTGCATTGTTTGCATATCTCCGTCAACTTGTTACGTTGACTGTTATTTTCTTTTTATGTTCCTGCATGATGATTTCTCTGCAAAAAGTGGATTACTAAAGCAATAAAAAGTGGAGTTTAAGAGTGAAACAAAGGTAATTGGAGATGGGACAAGGATCTGAAATGTTTAGTTTGTAAGTTATCACAGGAATATTATCATAACATTCACTATATAAAATGAACAAATCATGAATTATGTTTGGAAATATTGAGGATTTACTAACATGACTTTTTTTTGCCTCCAGAAATTCAGGGAAAAACTACCGTCCTATAACAAAAAAGAGGTATGTTTTACATTGTACTCAAATTAATTAATAATTCAGCAAATAATCTCATCTCCATCATAATTCACATTTCTGCAAAAAAAAAAACGATTCCTTGAGTTTGAAAAGTGATCATCATTTATCATCACCCTTCTCATTCTCCTCATCTTACCGTCCTCAGGAGCTTGTGCAACTGATCAACTCTAGCCGGGTCCTGGTGGTGAGCGGGGAGACGGGCTGTGGAAAGACCACCCAGGTCACCCAGTTCATCCTGGATGACTACATCAACAGAGGAGTGGGCTCGATGTGTCGGGTGGTCTGCACGCAGCCTCGGCGAATCAGTGCCATCTCGGTATGCTCTCTATGTGTCTTTCATATCTGACTGTGTTGGATTGTGTTGCAATGTGCATACTGAGGATAGATGTGTGATATGATGTTCATGCACACTGTCTGCATGCATCATTTCTGGCGTCAGTCATGTCAATTAGAAAGCTATTCTTTGTGCTGATTATTTTCTTGAATGTATTTTTCTCCCAGGTAGCAGAGCGTGTATCAGCGGAGAGGGCAGAAAGTGTAGGAAATGGAAATTCATGTGGTTACCAAATCCGCCTGCAAAGGTAAGATAATCTCTTTAAACATATGAGGCATGGAATGAAGTACCGTAATTTTCGGACTATAAGGCGCACCTGAATATAAGCCGCAGCAGCGGCATACCACTCTCGGTTCCACTTTTACTTTTGCGCGCTACCTGTCTCACTCTTTTCCGGCCTCCAGCTTTTCCTGCTGGAACCCGCCGCTTAAAGGTGGGGGTCCGCGGACCGGCCATAGAGCCCATAGAGTTAAAGGTGTTGGCCGTTAGCTGTAAAAATCCATAGATTAGGCGCACCGTTATATAAGCCGCAGCGTCGAAAAATAGGGAAAAAGGCGCGGCTTATAGTCCGAAAATTACGGTACTGTGATTTAGGGCTGCATGATTTTGGGAAAAAAATCTAATTGCAAAATTTCTAACAAATATTTGAGATTCGATTTGCGATATTTGTTTTTAAGCGACCCAACGGAAGTTTATTGTAAAATGCGGCCATAACTCTGGCTAGGAAGGTCGTATCAAGATGCTCCCGTCTCTAGCACCCCCGCAGCCCGAGCTACGAGTGAAAGAACTAAACTTACATGAAACTTCCGTTGGGTTGCTTTAAAGTCAAGCTTCAGTTTAAGATTCACCCTGTAATAGATGTAAAACATGTGATGGAGCATTACTAACCTGACTCAGATGGT